TGTTAGAAGCAGATTATAACAGGCTCAGAATAAAAAAATTATCAGTTTAAAACTTAAAACTGAATCAAAAAATAAAACCTACAGTTATAGTACTGGTCATCAAAGTGAAATGTTCTCTGTGATCATATCTTCAGGCAAGAATTAATTAAAATGGAAAGAAGGTATTGAGCCCAGAAAATATAAGATGTGCCCACAAGTCTAACTATTATCATTCACCTGGTTAATTCGATATTCAATGTTTCATTCAAAAATATTATTCTATTATTACTATGGCATATACTAGGCAGCAGTCCGGAGATCAAACAACACATTGAATTAGGTAAATACACTGCACAAGACCTCTTTAAAATGTTGAAAATCAAGAAAAAAATACCATAAAGTGTTGAAAATTGAAGATGTTACTCTGAGGACCAAGGTGCACCTGACCCAAGCCACAGTATCGTCAATGGCCTCATATGTATGTAGACGATGGACACTGAATATGAAAAACCGAGGGAAAAAGTCAATGCATTAAGTCATGATTCTGATAAAGAATATTGAAAATATCACGGACTGCCCAGAGAACACCCGAGAACGGTTGCAGCAGGACACTGACAGCGAGCTGCCCCGGCTGGATTCAGAGGGCCTTGGAACAAGGCACATCATAGCTGATGTCAGACAGATCTTGGCTCCAAGCAGAGAATACCAGAGATGCGTTTACTTGTATTTTATCGCCTATGCCAAGCCACTCCACTGTGTGGATCATAACGAATTATGGGTAGCCTTAAGAAGAATGGGAATTACAGAACACTTGATTGTGCTCAGGCAGAATTTGTACATGAATCAAGAGGCAGTTGCTCAAAAATGCACGGTATACTGCATGGTTTAATATCAAGAAAGGCGTGCACAAGGTCATATCCTCTCACCATACCCATTCAATGTGCATGCTAAGCAAATAATCAGAGAAGCTAGAGTCTATGAAGAAGAGTGTGGCATCAGGATTGGAGGAAGGCTGATTAACCACCTGTGACATGCAGAGGGCACAGCCTGGCTCGCTGGAAGTGAGGAGGACTTGGGGCCCTTGCTGACGAAGAGCAAGGACTGCAGCCTTCACTGTGGATTGCAATTCAATGGAAAGAAAACCAAAACCCTCCCATCTGGACAAATGGGTAGTATCACAGTAAACAGAGAAAAGATAGAAATTGCTTGCATCCAGAATCAATGCTTATGGAAGCAACAGTCAAGAGTTCAAACAACAGTAGATCAAGACCTCCTTAAAGTATTGAAAAGCAAGAATGATACTTTGAGAGGTAAAGTAAGCCAAGCCACAGTATTTTCAATTGTCTCATATTTATGTGAAAGTAGGACATTGAATAAGGAAAACTGAAGAAAAACTGATGCATTTGAATTGTGCTGGAGAAGAATATTGAAAGTACCAGGGACTGCTAAATGGACAAACCAATCTGTCTTGGAAGAAGTACAACCAGAGTGCTCCTTAGAGGCACGGGTAGCAAGACTTAATCTTACATACTCTGGACATGCTGTCAGGACAGACCAGTCTCTGGAAAAGGACATCACGCTTGGTAAAATGAAGGGCGTTGAAAGAAGAAGGCCCTCCTCCGTGCTCTGTGGTGCCCCGGGTCACTATGCACCAACTTGATAGTACCTAACAACAACAACAGCCAAAAGAACAAATGAATCTGTCTGGGAAGAAGTATGACCAAAATGCTCCTTAGAACCCAAGCTGACAAAACTTTGTCTCATGTACTTCGACACATAATCAGGCGAGGCCAGTCCCTAGAAAGGACATCATGCTTAGGAAAGCAGAAGGTCAGACCTTCGACAAGACTGACTGACACGGTAGCTGCACCAAAGGGCTCAACAAAACAACAAGTGTGAGGACGGTGCAGGACTGGGTAGAGCTTCATGCTGTTACCCACAGGGCCATATGAGCCAGAACCAACTTGCTAACAACCAACAATAACAACATGTACATATTCAGCACTGTATTAGAAAGTGAGTGTGTTAGACAGAGTTCTCTAGAGAGACAAAACCAGATTGCTAGTAATTTTATATATATATTTATAAAGATAGATAAATATATAAAACAAGAAATGAACTGTCAAATTATAAAGCAGTACAAATGGCTCAGTGCAAGTCACTCCCATGAGAGAGAGTTGTGAGACACTGGCAATCCTTTGAGTCTTGAGGGCTTCTTGGTAGTCCTCTGTAGGGAGAGAGCTAGGCTATATCAGCACAGCAGCAAATAGCAAGGTAGGTCACCAACTGTCAGCCAGGTCACCAACTGTCAGTCCCCAGCTCCAGAGATGTCTTAAAGGGACCTCAACTTACAGCGACACAGTCCACAGGCTAGACGTCCCACAGGTAGTGTAGCCTGTAAATTGAGGCACAGAACAAGCAAGGCAGCCGCATGGTGGTCCGATGATCAAAGAGTGAGAGACAAGAAAGGAAAAGCTTGCCAAGCCATTTATCTCTCCACCCTTCAATTAATCCCAGTTGTGTTTATCAGCCAGGCTGGCACAATAAACTAACTATCTCAGTGAGGATACAGGTTCAATCCCCCAAAGACATGCCTTCTTAGCCCACTTATTTGGAGACCTGGCGGCATAGTGGTTATGTGTTGGGCTACTACTGCAAGGTCAGCAGTTCAAGCCACCAGCAGCTCCAAGGGTGAAAGATGAAGCTTTCTAGTTCCATAAACTAGTATTGGAATTGAGCTGGAATCAACTCAGTGACAGTGAGTGGATGTTTTGTTGTTTTTTTACTCCAAGTCCACATAAAGAAGAACTAAAAGTACAGCTGATCCAAACTTCTATAACCAACTACTTGATATTTCTTGTGTGATTCTTAAAACACAGTTGATGCATAGTTAAGCTTTACTGGTATTTCATGTTTGTTTTCTAAATGCCTATGATACCCTTCTTTAATTTATGTAGCATATAACAAGCCCTTCCTCTCTTTCTAATCCTTCATCGATTGGTACTTTTCTCAGATTCCTTTTCTATACTACTGTTAAGTTCCTAAAGGGTAGCACGTAAGTGACGTAAGGAATCTGGGTAATCTAAAGCTATGGCATCTAATTGTCACCTTTATTTTTTTCAGAGTAATTCCTTGTATTCTTAGTTCAATTTTTATGCTTTAAAATTAAGTGATGCTTTAAATTTAAGATATTTGGACACTACTAGATAAATTTTCAGGACTAAGGGGTTACAAACTTTTTTGAGAGTTTTACAATTATGGTGTTTCCTGAAATAAATTGACTCAATGACATAGGTTCCTCCATCATAGTAAATTTTAAGTATCTGGGTAGGTGTGATAGGCTTTTCTTCACCAATATGGCCCCATAGGAACATGTGGGAAGAGTTTAGCCTATCAGTCAGGTCGCAGCTTGATTGGCGAGCAACCAAGATAAATGGCTCACTGGAGGCCGGCCCCTCTCTCTCTGCTTTGACCTTCCTGTTGACAAGCCACGTGAAACCATGCTGATGGCAGCCAGAGCCCTGGAGATAACTCCCACTACTACTGGATCCACAAAACTTTGCACCCACTGGCCTGTGGCATGTGCTGCGTGAGTCTGAAGAGGGATGTATGGACTAGTGTCTGACTTATGGGCTAATATCAGATTTATGGACTTGATCTAGACTGGGCTGGGATGTTATCTTAATATATAATCACTCTTTGATATAAAGCTCTCTCTTACACATATAAGAGTGTCAACGAATTTGTTTCTCTAGGCGATCCAGCTTAACACTGTAGGTTACCGATAATATGAAGAAAGCTGAAAGTAGACAGATCCCATAAGTTTACCATACTCCTGAAATGCTCATACTAGGAAAACCTTCCTATTAGCTAAGAATCCTTCATTTCTCTAAAGTTCTTAGAACGCTGCCCGACATTTTCTGTAGCCGATCTAAAGGGACCTAAAGAGAACAATGCCAGCAATTAGCGAGGTACTGTCCCACTGAGAGCAAATACATAGCTAAGTAGTGTGAGGGTATGTGAAAAAGGATTGCTATTATCATTCCCGTTATGGGCTCATTCCAAACAAAACATGTTTAAATCCATGTCTGTGACTGCAGACAATGTCTCTGGTCTCATGGGAGTGTCTTCAAAATAGGTCCAATCCAAACAGTAGCTTCCAAAGGGGATTTGTGGAACCAATCGAATGTAAGATAGAGAAGTCAGCTCAGAAGGTTAGGGTGACTTTTGGGGTTTTGTTTCAATCTCAAAGGGGTAAACTTGATACATTTTCTCAAAGGAACCAGGATAATCACCGGGCTTATTGTGAAGAAGTTGTAATCAACTCACAACTATGTTGGTAAGAGAATGGCCAGGAAAGTCGCACTGAGGATTTTTCCTATTGTGACAGTGCAGCTGCTCGTTCTTCGAGTATACCAAGCACAGTCCTGAGGGGATTTTGTTGAGAAATCTGACCCCCATCCACCCTAAAGCCCGGAGCTTACACCTCCAGACATTGATAAGGAAAATAATTTGAGTCCCTCGAGGATGCCAAAACTACTGCTTTGACATCTTGTCAATCAAAGAACAAAGAATTCTTCAGAAAGATTTAGAGAAACAGAAACACTTCTTTCATAAATGTATAGACCAAGATAGAGGACACATTGAGAAACAACAGCTTCATATTTTGATATTTTTGTTTAACAAAGGTTTCTATGATTTTGTAGCAATACTTTTTCACTTCCCTCAGATGCCATAAACCTACAGATAAGTACTAATCCTGTGTCAAAGAGCTCTAGTAGCACAACAGCTAAGCACTTAACTGCCAACCAAAAAGCTGTAGGTTCAAACCCATCCAGAGGTTTTCTACAAGAGAAAGACCTAGTGATTTGCTTCCATGAAGATGACAGCCAAGAAAACCCCATTGGGCAACCCTCTGTGGGGTTGCTTTGAGTCGAAAATCAAACCAAAGGCAACCAACAACACTAACAATAATACTATGTCAAGGAGCTAGTCTGAAGCAGGAGGACAATTAAGACTTCTTACTCCTCATCCTGCAATGTCTCCTCTTCCTCCTGGATCTGTAGCTGGTTCTTCACGGGCGCTAGGTTCTCGGTCTTGGCATTGTAGTTTCGAAAACAGACATTGAGCTTCTCATCAAATTCATTCACGAGGTCTTCCATGGACTTGAAGCTGATGATTTCAGAAGAAAAATTCTCCAGCTCAGAGAGGGAGGGGTCTTCTAGATGGTGGGGAGATGAGCCATAGAAACATCGAGGTTTCTCTTCTGGCTCCTCAGAACAGCAGGGGCGAAGATCCTCAAATTCTTCATCCAAACTCACTAGTGGGGCCTCCATGCTTGCACAACAATGGACCAGCAGCAACTTTCAGGATTTGCTTATCTAGAAGAAAATGTGAGGTCATATGAGTTTTCTCTCTATTACGCATAACCAGATATTCCCTTATTTTGTGATTCCACTCTACCAGCAACCATTGTCCCTGTGTTTGCTCCCCACCATGCATTTAGGAGTTCATATTTCTCTGTCATTGTTATCACTGCTAACCTAATGTAGTACACTTCAGAGACAATCCTGTTTTTAAGTCCTTACTCTAATAATAATAATAAATAGTGTTCAAGTATGTAGCCCCTGGTGCCAGGCTGTTAAGGTTTGAATCCTGTTCTGCCCTTTACAAGCTGCTATCTTAGAAAGTTATTTAACTTCTCTCTGATTCTCTTTAGTTTTCTATAGATAAAAATAATACCAAGACCCATCTCAAAGGGTTGTTAGAAAGAGTAGGCATGGGTAAAATGTTCAGAACAGTGTCTGCTGAATAAACGTTCAATATTACATAATAACAAAAAACTTTTCTGAAATTTTATTAGAACTCATTTTAGTGATATCACCTTATCTAACACACTCATTTAGCCACTGAACCTGATATATGGAAATATGAAACTTTATGACTTTCATTTATTCCCCTTATTATGTTGCTAAGTAGCCCTGATGGCATGATGGACTGTGCTGGACTGCTAACCATGAGGTCAGCAGTTCAATTCACCATCCACTCTGCTGGAGAAAGATGTGGCTTTCTACTCTTTGTTTTAATCGTTTTACTAGGGGCTCATACAACTCTTATCACAGCCCATACATACATCAATTGTGGAAAGCACTGTTGTACATTCATTGCCCTCGTCATTCTCAAAACATTTGCTCTCCACCTAAGCCCCTGGCAGTGGCTTTCTACTCTTGTAAGGAGTTCCAGTCTTAGAAACCCATATAGGCTTGCTATGAGTCAGAATCAACTCAATGGCCATGGGTTGGGTTTTCTGAATGAGTTGCTACAGAAATACTTTCAATGTTATTATTTTAGGTGTTGCTGTCCCAGGCTCTAGAAGCCCTGGTGGTGTGTTGATTACATTGGGCTGAGAACCACAAGGTCAACAGTTCGAAACCACCAGCTGCTCCTCAGGAGAAAAACCAGGCTTTCTACTCCTATAAGTAATTACAATCTTAGATGCACACAGGGGCATCTATCCTACTCTATCCTATAGGGTCACTATAAGTCAGCTTTGACTTGATGGAAATGAGTTTGATGATTTGTTTGTTTGTTTGTTTGCCCCAGACTCCAGGGATTGGTATGCAAATTATGCCCTCTATGACTTCCCAACAAAATTTGAAGCAATCTGAATTTTGAAACATGAATAGGCTTTAGGGTTTTAGATGAGGATTCATGGACTTGGATATTACTATTCTCATATCTTAAAAACTACCAGAGAAACTTTACATCCAGTACCCATGTTTTTCTCAGACACGGAGCTTATGCCTATAAACATAGAAGTGGATGAGATGGTCTACTGTAATCATGTAGGAGCCAGAACAAATTACCAGGTGCTTCAAGCCCAGACTCCATTACCATGCTGAAGCTCCTGAAACCTCTTTGCCTCAGGGGGATTTCTTCATGCGTTGCCATCAATGTATGTGTACATCCAGACCTGTCCCTAATTTTAAATTAAATTACTTCAGGACACAGATGTCCTCTGGATATCCTCCATGGCTCTTAGCACACACTGCCCTGCAGCTAGGAAATCAATCAATCTGTGTTGATTAAAAATGATCTCTTGTCCCCTACATACAGCTTTCCACTTTCAACCCCAGGCAGCACAAGCAGTATTGTGTATCACACCCTTCTATTCACATTCAGCTTTCTTACCCGTAATACAGAATGGCAACCAAACTTTTATCTCCTGTCTCCGTGTTTCTTGATCCAACTATATGCTTAAACTGGAATCTATATGAGTTGCAATGGACTCAACAGCAATGGGTTTGGTGGGTTTTTTAATTTGATTTGGTTTACCTGAGCAAAATCCTATAACAACAGTCATGGGGTGTCCATCCTTCACCTCTATTCAAAAATAAAATTCTACCTGGGCAAGACAAGTAGCATAGCATGTGATCTAGTAAGATCTTTTCACTGAGATTAAAACCAGTTACTATCATCATCAAAACATACTGTGATCCTTTACAGTTTGCAAAGGCAATATGATAAGTCCTTAGAATACAAAACTACATGATCAAAACAATGTCCTAGAAAGGGCACGCACATACTGAAAGCCAGCGGAGCTGCCAACAGCTGACTGAATGACAAGTATTATGGGTCCCTCATTTGCAATCATGAAGTGTTCATAAAGCACTAACACCTTTGGAAGTTAATTTTTTAATAGTAATTTTATTTAATCCAGTATGAACAAAGTATTATCATTTCAAAATACATTTCATGTTAAAATATTAATTAGACATTTCATATTATTTTGTTATACTAAGTCTTCAAAATCTAAAGTGTATTTCATACTTACAGTATGTCACCATTTGGACTAGCGACATTCAAGGACTCAGTAGCCCCATGTGACTGCCATATTGCACACCGCAGCTCTAAAACACTAAGTGACTAATTTCCAGGCAGATATTCTATACTTAGAATCCATAGACTCCTAACTGCTCTTTCAGTTTCAATGCAATGTTTCAATGCAATATAATCCTTTGTAAGCCTAAGTATCTTATTTTATATAGAGAAAAGCAAGATTCTGAGAAAGAATCCATAGGCTTCTCCACACTGTCAAGAAGGAACATGGTGTGCACACAACCACACACACACACCTGAAGGGTGAGTTTAAAAGAAATCACAAAGGGTGATGGAGAGTAGGGAAAATATTTATGTTAATTAAAGTGATACTGTTGGGTCTCTGTGAACAAGAAGAAATTCAACAGTGACAGGTTTGGGTTGGGCCTTTGTGTTTTCTCTTGTTAAGTTAGTTGAGGTGGTTCTCTGTGATGGGTAGGAGTCTGGACTCAAAGATTCCTATTCTGGTTCTATTAGTTCCCTGCTTTTAGATTTTAGGCAACTATCAACCAGTCTGTGGCTCTGTTTCCTCATGTATAAAATGGGGTTTTAAATAGGATGTAAAGCTCGCTTTGAGCCCTGGTGGTATACTGGGTTACGTGTTGGACTGCTGACCTCAACGGTAGCCGTGCAACCAGCCATCAGCTCTGTGGGGGAAAGAGGAGACTTTCTGCTCCCGCAAAAATGTACAGTCCCCAAATCCAGGGATACAGATGGTAGCCAACTAAAAAGGGGGAGCAGAGGAACAACACATGGGTAGAGGAGGATCAGAGCACTAACCCACCAAAGGGGAGAGTGTTGTTTATATCTCCACAGGGAAAGAGGGACCAGACTTCAACCTGGTGCGCCACAACGTGAATGCAACATACCAGCATGAAGCAGGGAACCAATAGAGAGGTCTGAGGGGCCAGCCCAATCCCAACTACGTGAACAGCGCCCCTCCCCTGAGAAGAATTCACATCAAAGGACAACACTGACGCTACAGCTCAGGGAGAGGGACACATCGAATCAGAGCACACAGGAGCAAACAAAGGGGAAGGGAGAGAGAGTGGAGCACATCCTTGCCCACCAAGCCCTGAGGACAACATTCCTGCTCAGAGCAGCCAATGCACAGAGAAGACCATAGAGCCGGCCCCACCATGAGTCATGACATCCCTCAATGACCCATAGCACTACAAGGACAACAGTGGATACACAGTGCAGGAATTGTGCCCAATATGACCCCATCACACCGAGGCGAAACACTAAAGAAATTCAACAGAACAGCAAGGGGAAAAGAGTAATGAAGTCCCCGGGGGAATACCAAAAATAGACCTTGGGGCCAGAGCATGGCACCCCATCAGACTCGACCGGAAAACACTCCTGAAGGTCAACAAACAGGCCTGGAACTATTTACAGGCTTTGTTGTTGTTGTTGTTCTTTTGTTGCTTTGTTTTACTCCCTTGTTTTTGTGGTTATTATTGCCTCTGCATGTCTATCTAGATAAGATAGGCAAAATAAACAACCCAGAGGAGAAAACAATGGGCCA